TGTTGTCAAAGAAACCTCGTACACAGAAAGGGAGAATCACCGGTGCAGAAATTTTCTTGGTAACAAATTTATTAAAGGTGCAAAACTTGACTAACGTTTCGATGTCAAACTACATCTTCATCAGAGTCCTCGATCAATTTTTCTGCACCGGTGATTCTCCCTTTCTGTTTGGTCTTATCCTGTCTGGTTGCACCGGATCGTTTGGCACCAGATTTACAGAAGCGCAGTAAGCCTTCCCTTTCATTTTGAAACCTCGTACACAGTCAGTGGCCACAGCAACCTCGGCAGTAGACCAAACTGAAAGCACCAGAGCTTTAGTTTGTCTGGTAGAGCACAGCTGTTTATGCTCTTCAACCCTTCAACTGCTTGTCGTCTAACTTCTCCCACTCGAACTGTGTCCTTTAGATCCCCATCCTACCATCTCCCAAGACTCTTCACTGGCTTCTCAGAAACTGTTTGTATTGCATCACCATTAATGAAGAATGTTTTATCTACTACCTTTCCTTTAACTATCGAGATGCTCCTTGATTTAGAGGGCTTAAATTGCATTTGTGCCCATTCAATATTATCTGTTAACTTCCCCAATAACAGATTAGTGCAGGCTACTGTTGTAGTCATGGTTGTCATGTCATCCATGTATGCTCTGATTGGTGGTAATCGCATCCCAGAAGCCAGGCATTCTCCTCCTACTACCCATCTTGATGCCCTAATGATTACTTCCATTGCATGGTAAAACCCAGTGGAGAAATGGTGGATCCTGCCATTATTCCAACCTCTAAGCATTGCCATGGAGTGCTGAATTTTGGAAAAAATGGGTCCAACTACACGCTGTCAGTGGGTGGGATCCAGAGGTGGAAAGAGTACTGAAAATTTGTACTCAAGTACAAGTATTTGCTAAAATAATACTCTATTACAAGCAAAAGTACTGGTGTTAAAAATGTACTTAAGTAAAAGTACAAAGTACCCCTCTCAAAAACTACTCAAGTACTAATTACTAATTACTTTTAGCCTGAGATATTTATTTACTTTTATGGAAACTAAGTTATAAAAATGGTCTAATATGATTATTATTATTAATGAATGATAATGCAAAATAAATAAGCTTTTTGGGTTATTTTATTTATAAACTTCTTTTTTTCTTTTTTTTTTTTACAATAAAGATTTCCAAAAGTACCCTACTAATATTTCAAAAGTTTCAAAAGTTATCAGCATTTAGCACTGACACAAATGTGCCATCTAGACAGACTGAGTAGTTGTAATTCGTTACTTCCACCTCTGGTGGGATCATATTAACACGCAGTGGTGGTAAGTAACGAAGTAAAAATACTTCGTTACTCTACATAAGTATTTTTTTTGGGGATCTGTACTTTACTTGAGTATGTTTTATTTGCATCTACTTTCACTCTTACTCCACTACAATATTAAAGGCAAAATTTACTTTTTACTCCGATACATTTCTCCGTGCCCGCTCCGAGTATTTATTACACTTGGCTTTCCAAACCAATGAAAAACATGGTTTTCTTTTGAAAAAAAAAAAAAACGCTCGCGCTCTTTGCCAGCACGCTCGCTCACATAGCAGTTCAGTTCGTCAGTTCAGTGGAAGATGATGACCGCAGAAACAGCAGCTCTCGCTGTCAGCAGAAATGATCCCAAGATTTGACAGAGATCACCCATGGCCATATCTCAAGGATATGTTTGAATTCACTGAAGTTTGGAGATTCATATCGGCTGAAATGTCTTCTTTGCCTGCCACGGCCGTGTTACAGTGCATTCTATCTGTACAACGCGACGTAACCTACACATCACACGTGAATGAATAGGTAGGGACACTGCAATTCACCAAAGTTGATTATTTGCATAAGCCTTGCCGGTTAAACATTTAATTCACGTGATGATGCGTTGTTCTAACGTGCGCTTTCCTGAGCGCATACTCGACGCTCGCAGGCACCAGAAGACTGTCAAACAGCGCCTGAATACTGGACTAAGTTATCTTTCGAGTCTATGCTAATACTGTTAAATACACACAATGTTTACTTAAACAGAATTGGCTATGTCGAAAGCAAACATTTGAGAGAAAATCTGGTGTAATATGTGTCTACGTTAAACGCGTCGCGTGCTGGTTTAAAAGCGACAGTGGTAAATAGTACTGCAGCTTGTACTGGGATAGTTCACACAAAAAAATACATAAATTTGTCATTACTTACTCACTCTAATGTTGTTTCAAACCTGTATTAATTTCTTTCTTGTGCTAAACACAAAAGAAGATTTTTTTTTTGAATGTGGTAAACAGTTGCTGGTCCCCATTAACGTCCAGGAGAGAGAAAAAAACTAAACACTGGGGACCAGCAACTGTTCGGTGACCCACATTCAAAATAACTTTTTTTTTTTTCAACAGAACAAAGAAACTTATTTGGGTTTAAAGCATCTTGAGAGAGTAAATTAAGACAATTTTCATTTTTGAGGGAACTATACTTTTAGTGTTAATAAAACAAAAACCAAAAAAAAAAACACAAGGAGAAAATCACTCACTGAGAACTTTATTAGTAGCTTTAATAAGAATCAATAATTTTTACAGTGAAGTCTATGTAGTGTTTTAATTTCATATTTGTTCATTTAATAACTTCAATGCTACTGATAAATACACCTACTGTATCTGAAAAAATAAAGCACTGTTTATTTAATTTGAATATTAATTTGTTTAATGTTTATCTTGTCTTATTTTTTTAATAACAAAGAAAATAATGACAAAGATTTTTATCTTCGCCACTGGCCTAAATGTATGCCTTTCTTTTTTTTTCTTTTGTTACCCAAGTCTTTGTTTTTAACATAGGGACATTAGTTTGTAATGAACAGCCACTTGCAAAATAGTAAAACCAACTTGAAAAATAATCGTGATAAAAAATCGTGATCGTGATTTTCCTAAAAAAAAAATCGTGATATATTTTTGCCATATCGCCCACCCCTGAAATGAAGTAGGCCTATAGCATTATTTACAAACCAGTTATTTAAGAGTTTTCAGTCATTCATAGGATCACTTAGAAAGTGTAAGTAAATGTAGTAAATACAGGTAGTTATAAAGCATTTAGTAGTGGTCAGTTAACTATTTGTGTGAGCTCATCTAAAGTGAGTAGGCTATTCATGACTTGTAAAGCATTTAAGGAGATTTAAAGGAGATCAATCTTCTAAACAGTAAAATGTAACAGTGATATAGAACAGAAATATTTAACAGCCTTTAAATCTCCTGTTATTGTCTCTTATGATTGCAAATCTAACAAATTCTTAATTGCAGTATGTAATCTCATCATTTGTTCAATGAAATAATTGCATATCATCCCCAAAATAATTGATCTGCATAATTATTTATATTTACAGTTCATTGGAATATTTACTTTTACTTTCGGTACTTAAGTACTTTTTAAATCGGATACTTTTGTACTTTTACTCAAGTGATGTTTGAATGGAGGACTTTCTACTTTTACTGGAGTAATATTTTATTTAGGTATATATACTTTTACTCAAGTACAACTTTTGAGTACTTTTACCACCCCTGTTAACACGTCATACGCTATAATTAGGTGAAAGGAAAAAGACTGACATCTCTCTCTTTTCATACAGATTACATCAACTGAGAATTGTTGCTTTTCTCTATAAATTACTTAATTTAAAGCCACAATATGTAATTTTTCTGCTTTAAAAATAGCAAAAATAACTATCTATTGTTATATATTTCTATTAGATGTGTACTTACATTATCCCGACAGTTTCCACCAACTTTCAAATACGGAGAAACTTATAGTTTAATTCGAAGACACGGGACTTTTCTTTATTTCCGTTTCGTCGCCCGTGTATGGCGTCATATAACCTTTGACTCCTCTATTTACTCTAACTTCCTTGCGGAACCCGGCGAAACCGCCAAACACAAAGGGGAACACTGGACTACCGCCAATAAAGCAAAGAAAATGACGAAGAAAAAAAAGTAGTACGTATTTTTATTTGTGTAAATCACGTGCCCGCTCACGAGCGCTCACTCTTAACAGACACACTGTCCCCGGTGCTGCTCACGCATAAAGCGCTCCCCGTTCACAGTAACCGTGTCGTCTCATTCAAAACAGCCAACTGTTGCTGTTAGCGAGCCGCGCACATTGAATACTCATTATGAGTCAGGCTGCGAATGTACGTGCCCGCTTCAGCGCGCTCATGCTTACTAAATAAACGCCTCACCTCCGGCGCCGGCGCCGTAACTTAAAAAATACGAGGCTTAAGTCATTTATAAAAATGCCTTCTGCATTTTTGTTTTGCTTTTCACTCCATTGTACCGAATCGTACCGAACCGTCTGAATGTCTGAACCAAGGTATGAACCCGACCAAACCGTGACTTCTGTACCGTTCCACCCCAAATGCAGTTTCATTATTATTCATTACTATCCAGAGTGAGGCTTACTATAAATAATTTGTGCGACCAAATCATGTTTTGCGCCAGTAACTGAAAAAGTTGGTAGCGCAAGTGCCACCAGTGGAAAATGTTAGTGTAGTTCCCTGTATACCGGTATCAGATTTGCAGAATCCATACGCACAATGCTTCAGCATGTTTCCCTCATTCGAAAGCTTGGCAGACCTCCCGCGCATAGTTACGGTTGCTAAGACATGATTGGCCAGTGGCGGTTTTCAGGCGTGGCTTAGCGAAGGGTCAATTGGATTTGATTTTTACTTGTGCAGCCCCTTCTTACCATCTTTTTGCGCTTAAACACAGCACAACAGACTATAAACAAGACAATTTCTTTGTTTGAGAGAATCCCACATCAACGTAAAAATTGTAAAAAATGTTGGAGATCTTTTATATTGTGAAATATTTTCTGTCCATTATAAAACTGTGGCTGGAAGCCACAATCTAGGTAATGAATCATAACACTGACAAAGCTATATCAAACCTAAACCTAGAAATCATAAAGCTGTTTTTTTAACATACAAAAACTTTTTTTTTTTTTTTTTTGCCTCAACAGAAGCAGCGAGAAAGAGCAACAGAAGGTGCTGAGAGTGTCAAAGTTTCTAATCTGCAATACCTGCACAGGTTAGTATAATGGCTGCAGATGTATGACAACTGATGAAAAATATACTATGCTGTGATGCTTCATCCTCATTTATATAGCGCTTTTAACAATGTAGATTGTTTCAAAGTAGCTTTACAGAGATAAACTTAATATAATTGCGTCACAGTCATGTATGCCTGTTTTTATACATATATGCATCCAGCTACCTGACATATATCAAGCTGTGGACTTTGGTGAAGAGGAATGAGAGCATGGCTCATGCGCTGCAAGCTAAACTGAAGGAGCCACAGACTGATGAGAACAAAAGAGGACCACGACCACAGGATCTTATACGACTCTATGACATCATCTTACAGGTTCAGAGATCACACATTCTTCATACATGTAAACATTTGATAATTCTTTATATTCCAGAGTACTTGCTACATGTATTTCCTATAGTAATAACCAGGGGTACACATAAGTGGTGCGTATGCGCGACCAAAATAAAAAATGCATTCAGTCCACTCATTTGCATACCGACATGGTTTACAGCTGGTAATGCACAATTACCGTTTGACATCGACTAATTGTAATACTGTATTTCCATTTGAACAATGCCTAAATCTGACAGTTTCAGAGAAAAACTGTGATATTCACTGACGCACTTCACTCGGCAGTGCATATACACACTTCCTGGCAATCCGCCAAAATAAAAGCTTGCTGATTTTAAGTTTGAAAATGTTGTAAATTCATGTAAAAATTAAACTAAATATAAGCATTGTATTTAAGTGTACTATTAAAAAAAAGTTATTTAACCCTCTGAGGTTGGCAAACACGCCGGTGCGTTTTGATTTTTTTCACATAGCAGACCAGTAGTTATGCGCGTGTGTGTGTATATATTAGGGGTGTGCAAAGCAGTCGGTATTTGTAACTGTATTTGTATTTGTTGAGGGGGGAAAAGTATTTGTAGTCGAGTAAAATTCAAATAGGTGTTTTTTTTTTTTTTGTTTTTTTTTTTGCGTTACACTATGTAATTATGGACGCAATTATGGATATGCAATATTGGTTGAAGTTTTTCCATAAATCCAACAATGAACAAGTACCAAGGAACGTCATTGAAAAGAAAATAACATAACAGCCAACCTCATCCATGATTAAACCAACAACTAATAAAATATCATTGTGAACATTATGAACCCCACCACCACCCGTCCTTGTTCAAGGACGCTGAACAGACAAAATAAAAACAAATAATACTTCAAATAACTGTTCTTCTTCTGAAAGAACTTCTTTCTAATACACAGAATTCCAAGAACTAAACTTTATCAACCCCTGACTGGGAGATCTGCCAGAACAAATGTTGTATTTTTTTTAATTATTTTTTTTATTATGCCTAAAAAGAGACACAAAGGTTTTTTTTTTTTTTTTTTTTTTTTTTGTTTATATATTTAAATATTATATGTGTATATATTTAAGAGTTTAAAAAATATGATCAGTTTAGGGTAAAAAGGCCACATAGTAGGTGGTGTTAAAAGTAATTTTATTACAATTTGTCATGCGCAGTTGCGCACTAGAAAATCACCAATCACTGGGCGTGTCAATCAATTTAAAGAAATATTTTATCAGAGGTGGAAAGAGTACTGACAATTTTTACTCAAGTACAAGTACAAGTAGTTGCTAAAATAATACTCGATTACAAGCAAAAGTACTGGTGTTAAAAATGTACTTAAGTAAAAGTACAAAGTACCCCTCTCAAAAACTACTCAAGTACTAATTACTAATTACTTTTAGCCTGTGATATTTATTTACTTTTATGGAAACCAAGTTATAAAAACGGTCTAATAAGATTATTATTATTATTAATGAATTATAATGCAAAATAAATAAACTTATTGGGTTATTTTATTTATAAACTTCTTTTTTTCTTTTTTTTTTTTTTTTTACAATAAAGATTTCCAAAAGTACCCTACTAATATTTCAAAAGTTTCAAAAGTTATCAGCATTTAGCACTGACACAAATGTGCCATCTAGACAGACTGACAATAAGTGCAGTTACACTGTTATGCCAGTGGGTCATGGCCGGCAAGATACTGTTTTTATGAAAGAGTCATTATTAAACTCTTCATTGTAAGCTTAAAACACGGATTCAATATTAATAAAACAATGTGTTGACAATGACATACAATATAACTTTTTATTCTAAGTTTACAATGCTAAATCTTTATTACGGTATATGTGCTTGTCACCTGAGTAATGCTGAAGCTCATGTTTCAAGTGATGTTTTTAGTCAAATTATCGTGAGGTCTACCCAACTTTAAAAACGAAAACAACTGAACTATCACATATCACTGCAGAAACAAAGTTTCTATAAAACGTCTCCTTTCCTTCCTCTGTATAAGAACAACTCCTCCATGTGGGGTCATGGGCACTCGTCATCTGGTATTTCTTCGGAATTTTCAATGAATTCAGTGTCTCGAATGTCCATGTCCATTACGGCAAAGTTCTTTGATAACACTAAAATACAAACTGAAGGACGTGTGAGGACGAATATAGCTCTCCAGGAACCGAGCTTTTTCCCGCTCCAAATACAAGGGTTTTTATTGGCCCGCCCACGATCAGTTATTTCCATTGGATACCCAAATGCTGGTCAAAGATTTGAATAATTGTTGAATTCAAATTGTACAAGTACTTTGTAATTAATGGCATTTTTAAAGTAGTGAAGTACATTACTTAACTTAATTTGTACTCAAGTACAAGAAAAATTACAGACTAAAAAATTTACTCATAAAAGTACAAGTACACGAAAAAACTACTTAATTACAGTAATCTGAGTAGTTGTAATTCGTTACTTCAACCTCTGTATTTTATTAACATACATTAATAATCATGAAAAATATTTTGAATTGAACTCGAGTGGACTCCGGAATAAGTCCGAGTCCTAAAAAAAAAAATGTTCGAGTACGAGTCAATTCCCAGTCCAAATGCACACGAGTCCATGACAAGACCAAGACCATTAAAATATGGTCTCGAGACCGAGTCCGAGACGAGTCCGAGTCTCGAGTACTACAACACTGCTAAGTAGTGACATGGGCAAGCTCTTAAATCGGGGATCCAGCAGAGTGGCTTTAAAGTAATGACCTCATCAAAGACAGCCTGGAAGCGCCGAGTCAACTTTGAATGCAATGTGGTCACCATTTTAAGTGCCTCTGGAAGAGCCTGTACATCTGCATCCACCTTTAAGTTTGTTAATGCAGTCTTGAGAGCCTGCACACAAGGGATAACAGAAGACAGAGAAGCCACTTCCTCACACACAGTGCGTGTTGCCTCCTCAATTGGTTGTAGTATTTTCACAATGGCCTGCACTAGTTCCCATTGATGGTGTGACATTACACCTCCCAGATCCATATCTGCACACATGGTAGTCAGTGGACGTCTCTGCTCCAATAGCCGCTGGAGCATGTGGAAGGAGAAATTCCACCTGGTTGACACATCATGCACCAAAGTGTTCTTGGGAAGGCCAAGCTCTTCCTGGATTTTGTGAAGTTTGTTTACAGCTTTGTTTGATCTGTGTACAAACCCAGTGATCTTGCGAGCAATCAATATCACACTGGTCACTCCCCGCACTCCTTTAGAACAGCTGTTACCACTAGGTGTAAATTGTGAGCCATACACCTAATGTGCACATAGTTACCATCAGCCATTGCCTTAACCATGTTAGTGGCATTATCTGTGACAAAATACTGAACAGAAAATTTCACTCCAACATCATCTTGCCATTGTTTCACAACGGCCTTGAGGTGATGTAGAATGTTGGCTGCTGTGTGATCTTCATTAAGAACCTCCATCTTGAGAAGTGCTGTCACACGTTTATGTTTATCTATTCCTTGTGGACTCTTTTTGCATTCTATCCAGTGGCCAGTGAGAGAAAGATACGCATTTGTGGAAAATTTGCTCGTCCAGATGTCAGACGTGCAGTGCACAAATTTCCCTTCTATGTTTGAGTGTTTCTTTTACTTTTGTTTTTACATCTTGGTAAAGTTGTGGTATAACTGTGCGAGAGAAATGCCAACGAGATGGTAGTTGGTATCGAGGTGCAACCACATTGAGAAGCTTACGAAAACCTTTATTCTCCACTACTGAGTAGGGCATCAGGTCAAGGCAAATCATTTCTCCTACTGTTTGTTATTTGCTTTGCAGTGGGGTGGTTGGGTGGATAAGACTGTTTTACATTAAATGCAGCTAATATAGATGATTGAAACTGACTTGCAGGGGCAGAACATGGCTGTGATGGTGATTTGGTGCTTGTGGGGGGATTGGGAGAGAGTACCAGGAGAGGATGCTTTAAGTGCATGTGATTATGCATAGCAGATGTTGACAGATGTTTGATATCTCTGCCTCTGCTGATTTGACTTTTGCACACATTACATATCACTTTGGTTTTATCTGCAGCACTGACTGTAAAATGCTTCCACACTGAACTTGAGCAAGTTTTTTTGAATGGTGGAGGACCAAGAGATGGCTCAGCAGCAGCCACACTATTTTCTATTTGGTTGCCTAAATCCATGTTTCAGCTACGTTAATTAATGACGGGAAGCTAAATGCTAAGGTTAGCCTATAGCCAGAGTAACTTTACATACCATATAACTCCCACAAGTGCATATAATTCGACACAACTACACAAGCATTTTTTAAACCTTTTTAACCGAACATTAACGTTACTCTGTCAAGTCTATTGTCTAAATTGCCTAGCTAGATAGATAAATAGAGCGAACATGTGAGCACCCGACTGCAGACGTCAATAATGGAGCATGCGTGATGAAATAATATCCCGATCAAACTCCGCTTTCCGATAGTTATAAACTGCCTCCAGAACCCAGTTAAAGAAAAAAATCTATTTAACAAAAACTGATTGTGTTTTTTTTGCTCAGCCGAGCAAGCCTCTGTTGCTGCGAGGAGCAGCCTGCGTCAGTCAGCTCTTTCTGATCACTCAACTCAGCACACACTCTAAACTAACTCATCCGGGCATGCACTGGGCCGTCTCATGAGGAAAACGCAGCTTTTTGATATAACGTTTTTCTTGTTCCCGAATACAGTATTTGTTCGAAATTAGTATTCGTAAAAACACGTTATTTGTGCCTTTCCGAATACCGTATTCGTGTTCGGCTCCACCCTAGTATATGTGTGTATGTGTGTGTGTGTGTATATATATATATGAAGAGTTCAGATGCAAAAGCCTCTAAATGCCATTTGAAATTTTCTTCTAGAATGATAATTTTATCAAGCTTGTATATTTAATTTCAGTAATTTCACTTAAATGGCAATGATAATTACCTATTAATTGTTATTTAAGTGAAATTACTGAACTTAAATATAC